CTGAAGTAATAAGATTACTCTAAAATTAACAGCTGTTTTATCTATTTGACTGATAAGTGTGATTTGATACATATTTTTATAAAAAATTTATTACAAAAATGTAATAAAATTATCAACTGCTAAATTTGGAGTAGGTTTTTTAATCAAGATCTAAATCAAGCGAAATATATAACATTTGAAATTAATAACACTCTAAATATTTTGCTGGAGTAACAAGATTACTCTAAAATTAACAGCTGTTTTATCTGATTTGACTGATAAGTGTGATTTGACATTTATTTTTATAAAAAATTTATTACGAAAATGTTAGATTACTTTAAAAATGTTCGATTGACAGAATGAGAGTAAATTTAGATTGAATTCAGATTAACCAATCGAAAGCGTCATTAATCTCAAGTGTTATATATTTCGTTCGAGATTTATACTATGTTCAGACACACCAATTTCTCAAAAATTTTATACTATATTCAGCCACACCTTAATTTCGCAAAAATTTTAATTTCATCTTTGTTTCAGCGAAATTAAGTTGTTTTTTTCCATACTAAATTCAGTTTTTCAGTTTATTAAGTAAATTAAGGAGAATGGCTTTAATCTCGTTGAAAAGAAGGCTGAAATTAAAGAAAATTCCAAATGCAACTATGCGAAAGATGAATTTTAAGCAAAAGATAAGTTGAGATAAGGAATATTACTAATCCAAAGTGAAAAGTAAATTGATTGAAAAAGTTACCTAAGATTTATCAATTGAAAACGGTACGTAGATACACGGTACACGAAGATTATGAGGAATACTCAAATTAGTCAGTGAGATGGGAGGAACTCTACAAAAACCTCCCAGCCATCATAGAGTAAAAGTGCCCAGATGCACCAACTCGAAAAAGGTTCAACATAACATAACAAGAGATTATTGTGTTGTTTTCGATTGGTAAATCTAGGATATCAATCGAGATGCACTTTTAGTAAAGAGGTTTTTCGAACAGTAGTGAACTACAACAACAAAAATTCATTTTATATTATTTTACTTAATTGAAATTTTCGCCATTAAAGCTGTTTCAAGTATTACCAAATACTCATCATTAGTGGTTTTGGAAATAATTATTGTATTTAATTATACGTAAATAATTTTTTGAGACTGCAAGTACGAGGGATTGAACTCGTGCCCTGCCAAATTTGAAGCTCAGAGTTAGCGCTCCTTAACCAATTGACCCAAAGCCGTACTTGACTTTTATGTTCGCACATTTTTCTAGAGTTTTGTCACTTTGCTGTGAAAGTTTTATTAACAAATTCACTTGCTGTATTTATATTAGAACGAAATCATAAATCAGCTGTAGAATAATTAAATTAATTAATTAAATATTTATTTTTAATTGTTAAATTTCAATACTATTCTGTTTCTAGATTTACTTTTAGTGTAATTTTCCTTTTCGATTTGTAAACCTTGAGCCATTATTAAACGCCATTATTAATCTGATTATGATTTTTATATGCCATTTGTTCTTTTGTCAAGCAAACAATCGATTAGTTTTATGAATACCACTAGTTTCTTCCGAACAATTCATTATAAATTTACTAATAAGTTCGACTAAGTTATTACTACCGTGTGCGAGTTCGACTAAATTGAGGGAAATAGTAAATTATGTCGGTATGGCAGCGAATGTTGGTATTTACCAGAATTTTGAATGGGGCAAATTAGATAAAAATTAAGTTAATTAGGTGTTACCATTGTGAATAAATAAATAAATTAGAAAACTTTTAACCAAAAATAATAAACAAGTACAATAAATAAATATTGACATAAGTGCAGTGCAAAAAAACTCTAGAAAATTTCAATTTACTTTACTTCAATTTACTCGAACTCGCACACGGCCTAAGTCCTTTATGTGTTCAAGTCCGATTTTCTGTCCGATTTTTTACCATTTCTTCCCCACCGTGCATTGATAATTAAATTGTTTAACATGTGCACATTGAGAACGCGAATGGAAAATAAATTTGAATTGTTGACCCCATTTCATTTTGAGGTTTCTGCCGCTCTCCTCAGTTACAAATTTTATTTACTTGTTGCTTTTGTTTCACATAAATTAATTTGCAGAGTATTAAGAAGCAAAGAAAAAAAAACAATTTGAAAAAATGATGTAATAAGAAAAAAAAATTTTAAAAAAAAACCCAAAAAGACATCAAAACAAAATACAAAACAATTTAAAAAAAAAACTATTCAAAAGAGAATTTCAAATGCGAAAAAATGTGAGAGTAAAAGTCATTAATAATTGAGCTTTGTGGATTGTGTAGTTGTTGTTGTTATTGTGGTTTCGTCGCTGTTGTTTCATGTGCACTCGTTTTGAATGTGAAATAGCCTTACAAAAGAGGACGACCTTGAATACAATCGTTTAATTTACTTGGCGCGGCGCATTCCGCGCGATGTGCCGATGATGATTTGCCGGTATTTTCGGTTATTTTTGGACAAATGTTTAAATATAATTTAGAGC